CGCTTTTGGGGCTTAAACGAACAAATATAATTTACATAACTTGATAGTCTAAGCTTACTCTCATCGCATAAATGAATAATTTAATTTTTAAATAAGTCCTAGTTATTTTCTAAAATTTTGTTAAGATTTATAATTCAACGAAAAATAATAATCAATTCACAATTTAAAATAAAATTAAAGTTTTATTTGTCTAATATATTTCTTTTTATAGTATTTGCAGCTGGGACGGTTTGTTTCAGTTGAGTCTGCATATTTTTAATGACGCGCTTCTCTTCTTTCCCTTCCCAGGGCTCCCCCCGATATGCATGCATTTGTCCATATTCCAAACGATGCTGATGATGTTGCTCTTTTAAAAAGGAGAATCCCGCTTTTTTTCAATACAAAGGTTGATATTTATGCCGATAAATTGAAACTCTCTGGGACAAGCTCGCAAATAGACGCCGCTCAGGTACGTCCTCTATACATTATTTCGCTAAGGATTATGCCTTACGTTTTTTAGGCCCTGAGTCTATATCTGTCATATACCTAGCTGCAGATTGCGTTTCTTTATTTCATTTGGATTCCTTGATACGATTTTTTGAAACTCTTTATGGCGTTATACTATCTGTTCGCCATGATGGCTTACTTCTCTTGCGAGGCAGTCTTTCCGCAAACGAAAAGTTTAGTGATGACGTTAAAGACCTTGAGCACCTAGTCAAAATATCAACCGGGCGTTTGTCTGATTTTAAACTAGAGTCTCTTGCCATTCTCTGTGGGCACTATGGGATTGCATTTACGGAACTTGTATCATGTTCTGATTCCCTAAAAATGGCGTTATTCGTTTTTTTGTCATCCGCGCGTACCGAGCATAAAACTGTCGATTTGTGTTCTGACTCCTTTATAGAGGTATACAAAAGCAACACTCCATATCCTTATAAAGAGAATCAATCCCCGCATACTGGTTAGATCATTCCCATAATACATGATAATTAATATTCATTTATTTTCCTTTATGTTTGACTCAATTAATCTGAAATTTGATTTATTTTCAGATAAAATTCCTGGGCCCGTAATCATGTCAGGCTCCCGAGCCTATGGCAGCGGTGATGAAGGCCAGAGAAAAAAGCATAGGCCTCTTTATCGAACTCGATCAGGAAGTAGAATACATGCTCAAATAATTGCTAATCGAGAATCTTGTTCAGATTCTTCCCCAGATTTGCATGAGTCATTTAAAGGAAAAAAGGATGATATTCAAGCAAACGGAGAGCCCATAACGTTCACAAATAAACAAAATCAAAAGTCATTTCTTAGGCCTGTGGTCCTTGATGGGACAAACATAGCTTTCCAGTAAGTTTTAATTAATTTTACTTGCATTATTTGACCTTTACCTATTATTACTATTGTTCCACTT